TTAGTTGTAAAAGACACGTCGTGGAATGCAAATTTTAGATTCCCCATGTCTCTTTTAACATCTTTTATCAACGTCTGTTTGCCTTGCAATTTTTAGAAGGCTCAGATTATAAAGCAGAAATCTGAATTGTGTTTCGAAACTATTTTACGATTGTTGTATCCCGAATAATTGCCCAAAATCCTAAACGAATATTTATATTTTCCACCGATCAAAATCTTTTCATGAATCTTAAAAACGAGATGTGATTTTTTACGTGTTTAATGAAATACATTGTACCTTAATATTGCATAAAATAAACATGAAACAACAATAAAACGAAAGACATTTAATTTGCATCCACATGTGACAATGTAACAAAATTTCAAAAATATATAAATCCTTTAAAAAATTCTAGCATCTAAACTACTTAACAAGTTAGCTGGTGTATATATATTACATTTATTTTATTTCTATATTACAGTTTTATTAAGCCAAATGTGTTTATTGTGCAATAAAAAATAAGGAAGCTTCATATGAACGTTCAGTGTGAGATTTTTTTAAATTTGGTATAACTAATACTCATTAAATGTTATAGGTAACTTGTTTGTTTCCATATCGTTATTTTGATATCGCAAGATCAGTATCTACAGTCAGAACGAGAAGTTAGTTATACATGCCCGACTATCCTTGAAATATTTCAACCAACTGAATACTAAAGTAATCGTCTTCCGTTTTTTTTTTTTTTTTTTTTTTCGTTTTTGCTTGCTTTTTAACAACTCGTATGTGGCTTCATCCCACCGCCGTTTCACTACCTTATATATAGCTTCTACGTCTAAATCCGTTATACATTGGCCTTTATACACCTTGCAACCTGTTTTCTTGACTATTTCGTGACGCTCCTGATGGCGGCGGTTGCTGTTTTCGGCCGCCGCGTCTATTTACGCAGTTTGGCGGATACTGAAGTGTTTGGTTCCAAATAGGGGATAAAATGTAGACTTCCTTCTGTTATATTCTCAATATTACTTCGGATTTCTACAGTTTTACAAATTTTTCAAAAATAAAAGTAGATTTTTGTAAAGAGTATTTTTTTTTTCAAACATAGAATGTACTTTATCTTGGCAGAGTTTTTCCACCGCAGAAAAGGAATAATGATGAAACTTAAGAAAAGATCTAATGCAATAGATTATATACCGCAAAAAATTATAGATCTTTGAAAGGAGGGGGAAATTTGGAATTTTTTTTGGATGATCGGAAAATGGTCCCGTTATTCTGCTTGTAGTATAGCGAATATATGCAAACAGGGTGGTAGTGTTAGAAGTAAGATTTAGATGCACGTAGATATGTACTTAGTAGATTTTCAATGCCGATGCGTAATATTTTGGATTGTGGACACAAAGTAATCGTTCGAGTAATAGAATCTTCTTCTTCTTCAGATGCAAATCCACTAATGGATGTTAGCGATCACACTTTCCATTAATTCTCTATTTCTTGCAATATGTATCAGAGATTGTATGTCTTTAATCCCTGTCCATTGCCTTATGTTTCGGAGCCAGGACATTTTCTTGCGTCCCATTCCTCTCTTGCCTTCAATTTTACCCTCGATTATAAGTTGGAGGAACTGGTATTTTTCATTTCGCATAATGTGACCTAGATACGCCGTTTTCCGGCGTATTCTCGCCGGAAATTCCGCCGTTTTTCAATATTCGTAATAGAATATTGAAAAGAAATTCATACTCGAAAGACGATTAGTTAATTCTGAATATGGCCGTGGTAGGACCCGATTTCGAGGTCTTAGTTTTTTCCCGATTTAAAAAAAATATATACAAATATAAGCTCATACAATCTATGTATTCCCTTGTGTTCGTAATTCAAGAATTAATGCTTATATTTCTTCTGTGTCGCATTTGCATTCTATTTTAATAAATTCTCTTTTGCAGTTTGTTCTGCCACGAACTGTTTGTGGAGTATTTTAGACTATTTAACATTGGCTTTCCTTTTAATGTAAAATTCAATTTTCTCACATCGATACAATAACGCAAAATGAACTACATCTACAACACAAGTTGTAGGATTCTCTTTAGGACTATATCGCACTTTGCATTGCGTAAGTTATTGACAACTGTTGCTCATATTTATCACAAAATCACAAATACAATCAGATATCTGGTGGGGTAAAGACGTGATATCTCTCATAAAAATAAAGAAGACTTAAGATGAGCAGCGCATATAGCAAGATCGCAGCAGAACAACCTTAATAGGCAAATCCTGATGTCACAGCCGGTAGGAAGTAGACGGAGAGATAGGCCAAAGCTTAGATGGAGAGATGGTGTAGACGAAGTTGCTAGAAAAATAGATGCAGCAAACTGGCAAAGGATAAGGCTGACTGGTGAAATAAACTTGGGAAAGTTAAGGCTCTATTATAGAGCTGAAGCCCCAATAATATAGTTGTTGATAAAAACACAATTATTAGATATAATAACCACTGAGTTAAATAAAATATTTTAATAGCTTTAAAAATGTAAACAATTGGATAACTTTTGCCGAAGAATGTCGGACAAGAAAGCCCATCAAATCTTTTGATTTATTTTTGGTCTATATACAATTTCTGCTAATTTAAAAACATTTAGTAATTTCTTTAAATGCACAATTTTTTCGTAATTGGTGTTGTTACCGAAAGTCAACTTGTACTATCGCGGTTTAGCAGGTAATGTAACATGGAAAAATATTATTTTATTGAAGTTGCATTGAAAAAACTATTTCTAAAGTGGAAATCGAAACATCAAATAAACTTATTTTAAAATAAAATTGTAGCTTATTATCAGTAAAGATAGTAAATTGTTTTAACAAGGCACGAGAAAATAACTGCCGAACAATATAAGTTCTTTCATATCTAGAATTATTGTTTGAAAATTTTCACTATTGCCAGACATATTTAATTTAGGGGGTAAAAAGTTCATTTAAAATGTTCAAGGTAGTGGTTTAAGTTTGTATGTCTACATGATATTTTTGGACGTAGCCACTTTAATTATAAAAGGTGCCATATGATTATTTAAAAATGTATAAAGAGCCAACAGATATTTTGCATTTTTGAGATCTTTGTATTTACGTCATAAAAACCTCGACATAAATCAAAGTATACTTGTATCCCATATTTTAAGAGGCTGCATCACTTGTAATTTTTACTATGTACTAGTCTAGTTCTTTCAATATTGTCAGGTGGAAGAACAGATCAATATTAAAATAATTAAGTATTATCTCATGGGTATTTGTATTCATACTGCCGGATGCTTGTCTTGCCGCTGGATGATGATTAAATTGTTCGCGGTGTTGTTTTCTTAAGACTGAAATTAGGGTACTATGCTAATAAATTCCTTTTTCTTTTTATATAGTATGCCTTCACCGTTTAAAATTAGGTTCTTGAAATGTAATAGAACAAGATTTTATATTGAACTAAATGACCACAAAAACGTCCGCTTTGCCCCTAAGCTGACATAAAAGCAAAATATTAAAAATACATTATAATCTAACAAAGAACTTTTCTAATACAGTACTATAAAGTAATAATAACAATGTCTTACATTACCACTTTCGCTGCCACTTATATATTCAGTTAGTTTAGTATAAAGCCAATATGAAAACAACTTTAATTCCATAGTTTGTGAATGCCAAAAAGCGACAGCGGCACCTGACTCAAGTAGCACAAAACGCCTTTTGGCGAAGTGGCAGCGAATGTGTTAAAAATACTGCCAAACGGTGTCTGGGAGTGTAAGCTTTGCAAGCTCTTCTAAAATATGTGTCTTGATAGGACAATTTTTCTTCTATTTAACTTTTAATTACTTTTAATTAATTGAACGTGTACATCGGCATTCTGAAGTATTAAAAAAATTTGGTCTCATCATCCAGCAGATGAGGTAAAAGTGTAACAAACTCGTTTATTCGTTCTTTTTTTTTTCAAACATCATGTACTCAAGATTTTTTTGCAATTAGATCTTCATCCAAAAAGATATCCACAATAGCTAAATTACAGTTATTTAAATATTTTAACAGTGACCGACTCAGAATACGATCGAATCATTTCAATCGTTGGTTCATTTCAATACTTTTCGTTGACGTTTAAAAGAAATAACGAGTAACCGATTGAACTGAATCGACTGAAAACCGAGAGCATTGCTTACGGTATTTCATGTGTATTCACCTTCACCTAAATTACTGGAATATCACGTTTATTTTGATCACCTAAATATATATTTTTTAACATTTAAGTTCGTACAGATTCTTAGAAATTATTCGAAAAGCTAGAATTTATTATATTCTTAAACATTTGGTCTCGCTCTAGCTTTGTTTGCGTGCAAATAGATACTTTATGATTTTAACTACCTACTAAATAAACTATTAACAACACAAACGAAAGCAATCGCTGGGACCCATAGAATATTTTCCAATTCCAATACTCCCGGTCTGTAACTAAGTTACTGCCTTGCACACAATTCTTAATTCAATATTTAGTATTTTAATATTTCAATCATTCAAACGAACACATTTGGCTGATCGGTCTTCGTTGCAAGTGAGGAACGACCGAGGACCGAAAGTAATGAGGGTATTGGCTGTGAGATTTTGTTTGGGTTCGATCGGTGCCGTCGATCAATCGATTTTTGTCACCGTACGATTGGATCGTTATGAGATAGAGGGATTCGGTCGTTCAATACTTTGAAGTGATTGAATCAAAACGAACGAATCAATCGCGATTGATACAACACTCATCGCAAGGCTGCATAACAGGCGTGTACAAGCCTTAAGACCGGATAATGTAGATTGCTGAAAATTTGTTTATAGCCATGCGATTCATATTATAATTACCCAAATCATGTATCATCATATCACGTCAAGGGAAAGTTATTTTATAAAAGTATTTTCACATCACCGAGATATATATCGAGATTTTCACTTAAAATATAAAACCATTTGCGGGCACTTCTTTTTATTAATTATGTATTAGTTCTTTATTAAAAATAAAAGTAAATACATCAAATGCTTTTATTTAGAATACTTTTATGTGTGAAAATATTTAATTATATACAAAACATATTCGCCTTAACTGATTTGTTAAATTGCTGAAAGATAAAAATTATTACAGATTGATTATTATATTTGAAAAAATCACAGATAATTACACCATTCTCAAAATAGTAAGTGGAAGCAATAAGCTACAAGAATTTAGTTTGTTAATAAACTTTATAGAATAGAATCAAATGTTTAGATTTTAAAATAGAATATGTATACAAAGTTCCTTATTTTTAATTGCTCTTTTATCTTACTTAATATCTACTCTCTGCGTAAATTATCTAGTCGAGCTTGCAAATCAGCATCCGCATCAGAAAGGCCACCTCCACCGCCGCCGCCACTGTTGCTGTTGTTTCCACCAGTACCACCATTGCCTCCTCCTGCAAAACATAGTTTGAATAATAATTATAACATGTAAACTGTTCTAAAATACAAATTAAACAAATTTTGTTTTTGTTACTTGGCAATAAAAAATTCTAATAAATTCTGACTCATTCATATTGACAATTCAGACAAATATTATAATTTTAAATTATATGACTTTAAAATGATATGTCAATATTTTTGAGTTGCGTTGCTTAGATAACTTTATTGGAAGATAGTTCATTCGATTATTAAAATTTATTATCCAATGAAGTCATCCCAGGAACGCAATTCAACAATATTGACTATATCATCATAAAATAAACTAGTTTAAAATGTATATATCTGAATTGTCAATATCAACGAGTCAGATTTAATTAAATTATTAGAAAAAAATTTTATTACCAACTAACAAAAACATAATTTGTTTAATTTGTATTTTGAGAACGATTTCTAAATGACTCTGAAGTAAATAAATTCTATGTACTCTGAAAGAAATGATTTCAAATTACCTGCAACAGCTGTTGCAGCTGCAGGATGTTTTTGCCCAGAGGCAGGCAGAGATCCGGCAGTTTGAGGCAGTCCAGAAAGAGTATCATTCAACTGAAGACCCAGTTCATCTAAAACTTGATTGACAATTGCATCACTGAAAAAAAAATAAATGTAAATAATATACAAGTTTTTTTCCTATCAATATATTCTAAATACAAAATCTGAACAAATTCAGGTAACCAAAATGTTGTTTTACAGAGCTATGGGTGGTTCAGTAAGAAAAGTATCTACATGGATTTAAAGTGATACAAAAAGTCCCAGTAAAAGTGAATATAAGTAGTTTGACTGCAAATCAGAATAATATTTTGACACAAAAACGTAAGATTTTCAATAGACAAAGAAAAGTTAACAAATATTTTTTAATAAATTACCTAAGCTTTAAAGCTTAAATCACATTTTTAATCAAAATCACTACCTTTACCAAATTTTTTCTCTGAAAAACAACGAATGTGACATATGTGTGTAATCCAAAACAAAAAATATAAGCGAGCAGGTGTACCTACATTGAACACATTTAAAAAAACTGAAGTAAGGAGTGAAAAAGAAACATAAAATTTCGAATAATAAAGTTTTTACACTGGACTTGCAATATGCTGTCCTTTGCCTCAAATCTAACGTTTCGGCTTTATATTATTGAACAAAAGTAATGAATGGTAAACAACTTTACTATTTTTGATCTTCATATTAAAAATGGATACTGCTTTTTGTATGACATGAGGGTGAAGGAGATGTAATAGCCAATTGCTTTGCCTCTATCATTTGTCAATTTATCAGTGAAATTATTCCACATCTTACTCCTAATCAAAATATAATCTTAATTAGTGATGGATGTTCAGCACAGAACATAAATATTACATTATCAAATGCTCTTTTAAATCTTTCTGTAATAAAATAGGTATGCATTGAACAAAAATACTTGGAAAAGCATCACAAGACAATAGAGTGTGACTCAATGCATTCCACTATTGAATATTACATAAAAGATCAAAATATTAATGTTACTGCCTAAATAATGTAAGAAAAATTCAAAGCCTTATAAAGTTAATTATACAGTAGAACCTGCTTAATTCGAACGTAGCTAATTTGAAATCTTCTTTAATTCGAATTTTTATTATGGTCCCTAGCATTTCCTATATAAGTAATGGTAAAAAGTCGTGAATAATTCGAATTATATTTCGGATAATTCGAACTTTTCTACAAGTTAAAAATGCCAATTTCTTGGAGGAAATTTTCGCGAAAAGAGGTAGTACCTATTCAAGGCCATTGTACATGTACCTGGCACCTACATTCTACCCCACCCGGCTTCAGTTGAGATGCGTTGGCGTTGCAATTGCAAACACCGCAAATCACGTCAATAAGTCACTTCGTATTGAGCAAAGATGTCGTTGTATGGTAAACTTCGCACATACAAAACTTTGACATTATCGGAAAAAATAGCGGCAATTAAAGAAGTAGAAAAGGGGATGAAGAAAAATCTGAGATTGCCAGGGACTTTGGAACTCCTCCTAACACATTATCCACCTACTTGAAGAATAAAGAAAAAAATCTCAACAGTGAAAGTGGGTGCGATCGAAAAAGGTTAATGGAGCCAGAAAATCCAAATTAAGACAGTTGTGTGTTATAAAATGGTTCAAACCAGCTAGGGATAAGAAGATTCACGTGAGTGGTACCCTTATAAGAAGCAAAGCTGAACAATTTGCCATTGAAATGGGAAAAACAATTTTAAGCGAGTACAGGGTGGCTCGACGGCTCAAAGAACGCAACAAAATTTCTTTCAAATACATTTGTGAAGAAAGTGGGACTGTTAATCAGCAAGAATCCAACCAATGGAAAAAAAATTGGAGGAGATGATTCACAGTATAGATGAAAGAGATATCTTTAATGTTAACGCGGCGGGTCTTTTTTTTTAATGCACTCCTGACAAAACGCTGGCATTTAAAAACGAAAAATGTCACGGAGGAAAACTAAGAGTAGAGTATACTCTTAGAGTAGACTCTACTCTTAGTTTTCTCTAACTCTTAGAGTTAGGTAAATAAGACTAACTAAAGAAAGAGTAACTCTCCTAATTGCTGCAAACATGGACGGATCGGAAGACTGCCTCTACTGATGATTGGCAAATCGGCTAATCCGCGTTGTTTTAAGAATGTCAAATCAAAACCAGTGGAATATGTGGGCAGCGTAAGAGCTTGGATGACTAGTAATGTTTTCGAGAACTGGCTTAAAAAAAATTAGACAAAAAGTTCATAAAAGGAAAAAGAAGTTATTTTGTTTATTGACAACTATATGGCACACACCACTATCCCACTGATGGAAAATGTAAAAGTTATTTTTTTTCCTGCTAACATGACTTCAGTTCTCGAGCCTATGGACCAGGGTATCATAAAAAATTTTAAACATTTTTACAGACGTTTTTCGGTTGAAAACATATTGACGGAAGATTGCGACACCCTTAAAATAAAGTTAGACATTCTACAAGCATCTAGAATGTGTAAGAAAGCTTGGGACCAAGTAACACCATAAACGATCAAACACTGTTTCAAATGAGCTGGTTTCATAAAAAAAGGAGGAGAACGCAGACAACAGTTTAACAGAAGAGCTGCTTTCAGTTGACTGCTAAGGGATCATTTCTGATCCTGCCATCTCTTATGAAGATTTTGTCAATGTGGATGAAGATGTTGCAGTATGTGGTGAAATAACTGATGCAGAGATCATCGCTGAAGTGATTAAGGTCAATGATGAAAAATAAGAGAGTGATGAAGACTACACGTCATCAGTTGCGGGAGAAATACATGTTCCTAGTGCGGTCGAAGCAGCAAATCACATTACGCAACTTAAACGGTACTTTGAAAGTAAAAATGATGTAAGTCACCCTATTTTTAGTTCACTGAATATCTTAGAATCTCTTGTCATTAACGAGAAGTTAAATTATAAAAAGCAGCTAAAAATTTCGGATTTCTTTGGAAGAATTAGTCTAGTTTCATTAGTTGTAACAAATATGTATTCTTATTTTCAATAAATTTTTTGAGACATGTTTTATTGTTTTAATGATGCATTCTTACTGGGCATTTTTTATTGGCCGATTGCATCGGCCAAGTTTTGGCTAAAAACACCAATGAGAAAATCTGCAAATAATAAAAATCGACAATAATTGACCATTTTTATAGCTTGCAAATGTTTTAATTGATATTCTGGTCGAATTTTGTTGGTCCGTTTTACCAAAATTCAGGCAAAAATAGGAACGAAAACATCTGCAAGCGATAAAAATGGCCATCTATTGTTGGTTTTTATCATTTGTAGATGTTTTTCTAGGCATCTTTGTTTTTGTGGATAGGTATATGTATTTTTAATTCAAATTTTTGGACAATTCTGCAAACGATAAAATATTTCGATATATCTGCAGAAAACATCTGCAAGCTATAAAAATGGTCAACTATTGTTGATTTTTATCGTTTGCAGATGTTTCTGTAGGCATCTTTGTTTTTTGTGGATATATTTTTAATTTGAATTTTTGGATAATTCGAATTATTTGGTCCCTTGAGATTCGAAATTATCCAAGTTTCACTATATAAATCATCAAATCATGGATTTGAACCAGGTAATTGCACCGTGGGCAGTAATAACTTAAATAGAACAGTTGACAAAATTAGACAAACACATAATTTTAAGGAATTATCAATTAGACCATATAGAAATCCAGTTTATATACCTTTTGCATCATTAGAAGAGTCCTTAAAAATAAAAAATGAAAACTTTGAAAATTTAATGTTTTTGAAAAGAACAAGGGAAGCAGACTACTATTCTATGACAATTTAAAGCATGAATTTTTTTGATGTTTTCATTTTTGTTTTCATGTTTTCTTTTGTTAAATAGATGTTCTTGATTGAGATTAGTGTTTGTTTAATTGCATAAGTCTATTTTAGTTTACAATTATAGGTAGTATGAAACATGCCTATTAAAGTAATTATTAAAATTAAAGTTACCAACATTCTTTTAAATTAGAAATTGTATTCACTTCATTAGATTAACATTTTGCTTAAATTTCAATCTCAAACGTGATTTTTTTTGTTTCTTGTAAAATTACATATTTTGGACCTATGCATTTTTCACAATAGGAGGAGGATATAGCAGATTTATCAATAATTGTTATATTAACAGTATTAAATTCTAGTTTTTACCTTTCCTCCTCATCATCATCTCCCTCCATCGCATCATCAATGGCATCATTCATAACTTCTTCCTTCATATCCATAATTTCTGATTGCTTTTCAAATTCTTGTAATATCCTTTGTATCTGTGGTAAATTTAGCTGCCTATTCATACTTTGCATAGCTTTGGTCACACCTTTCATGGCTTGTGCCATTGTATTTTGGGATCTAAGAGTCTGAATTTTTAATGATACTGCTTGAATGTTAGCTTTCATCAACATAAATTTCTTCACATATCTTCTAGTTCTGACTAGATCTTTAGCCATTATTTTGACAGCGTCCTATGAATAATTTTATTAAAATATTATCTCAATGAAGATTATAGAACTTACCATTTGACCTTCCTTGGCTAATTTTTTAATATCGTTTATTACTTTTTTCTCTTGCTGCTCCATCTTTTGCTTTTCTCTATCCAAATCTCTCATTGCTTTATTTAATGCTCGTTGGTTTTTACGAAGCATTTCTTCGGGGGTTACTTTTTTTCCAAATAACCACTCCATTTTTAAATAATATAATAATAAATACCAGAAAAACACCTAAATATTTGACAATATAAAATTAAAAATGAGTCACACTACACTACCCAATAAAACTTGACATTTTTGACACTTACATCTTACATGTACATGGCAAAAATATAAACATATGTTCTATGTTTGAGTATTGGACCACAGAACACTAATCACAACATTTTGTTGTGATTAGTATTCTGTGGTTGAACTCACAGAGTTAGATTATATTGGGTACCTTAACAAGACAGAATTGGATCCGGCTAGAGAGCCCTATTTTTCGGCGGAAGAAAAACATATGTGGGCAAGAATTTGAAAATTACATTTGATTGCATATTATGAAAATTTTAAAAGATCTCGTTTGTGTTAGCCCTATTTTAGTATTTTTATCATGTAATGTTGAAGTTTAGGACTTCCGTTATCAACTTAAAGCATGTAAGCAAGCAAAACGATTGTTTTATGCCAAAAATTTTGTTTAGTTTAACCACAGAAGACTCCATCCAACAAGAAGCGAAAGCTTGGTCGGTACCTTTGATGTTCGTAGGACAGAAATTTCGGAGTGACAATGACAGTTCAACTACTTAGTACACTAAGAAAAGTAATGAGGAAGTCATTCAAAATTGTAGTTAAATTATAGTTACACTGAGAAACGAAGAAATCAGTAAAACTAATGATTTTTAAGTAGATCTGGGTGCTGATTCTATTTCATTTCGATGTCGAAATTTAAAAGCGACTACGCCATGACAGTCGCAATCGCTAGCGATTCTCATTCATTTCGATTTTAGTTAAAAGTGGGGACATTTACTTTATCATTTTGACACTGCTCAGAATTTGGGTTGGCCGTCTTAGTGTTGGCCGTAAATTTTTAGTGGCCATTCTCAATGATTATATTTTGAATTGAAAGAAAATGGATGGAGGCTGTTGGTGATGGTGGCACTAAATTGTCTGTGGGCCAAACAGAAATTATGATGGCTTTTGACTTAGTGGTTATATTATGTTTTTAAATTTACTGCAGCTTAGTATTGGTATTACTAAAAACAATACATTACCGCTCTAAAAATTCTTGATGAGTTTAAAGATTATTTTATATCTCCAAATAAGAGTGTAGAATTAAAATAAATTATTACAACCAAATTATTTATTATTTCTATCTTCCATTACAGCCTGTTGAATATATTCAAAAATTTTGGTTTCCAATTTAGTTTTAATATTGGGACATTTTATTTCTTTAATTTTTACACCACAGTATATTTTAAAAAATAATCAGTAGCATCTGGCTTGGGGCCCCCAGGTACCGCAGTTCTATTTTTATAGGTGTTAAAATTTCGACCAATTATGTGCCGAATCACATACAATTTTTGATAAAACGCAGCCATATTAATATTACGCCTCCGTTTTCGTTGCAACAATCAAACAAAACAACACCGCCTAAACTGAACCTAACCTCGCTTCTCCCAGTCCCGCTCCGCTAGTCATTAGTCATGTCAGATTAATTTCGACTCGAAATTAAATTTCAACCACTTTCTTGAAGTTGAAATTAATTTCGATAAATCGAAATTTAGTGACGTCCTTTGGTTAGTTCAGGTGAAATCCACTAGGCTCGCAAAGTCGCATTTCGACGTCGCCATATTGATTTCAACATGTTTTCAGTCGAAATCTCAATTAGAATCAGGGCCCTGATTGTATAAATTGTATTTTTTTTAAGTGTATCTATTTAACTAAAATACATATAAATGTTCAAATAACTTTTGTAACGTGTGTAAATTTCAAATTAAATTTGTTTACCTGATACGATCTCTCGATATTAAAGAGAGACTTACCTATTTCCTCACCAGATTTAGATGGATACCCACAACCAACACAATAAAATCCTCCTTTTCGTGCAGTCATTACAATTAGTTTATTACAAATATGTATTATAACAGTATTATTTTTTTACTAATAAACAACACACACGAAACAACACTTCTCAATACGTAAACAAATGAGGCGTTGAGAACCAGAGCGGACCATCCACATAAGAACTTCATTAGAGATAAATGCGTTTAAAAAATGTTCGATTTTTCATAATTTTTTTAATACTGATAAAATCATTTTAACAACGCTAAATTTTTGGTAAAATCATAAGAAAAGGTAAACCTTTGCTGCACCACTAAAAATATACCACAATGTGCACTAAAGAAGAAGTTTTTGTGGCTTGATCCACTCTGGCTTTAATAAAAGATTTTGTTCTTCCGTAGTGGACCAAAACCAAAGACACATACTGTAATATTAATATCATTTTATTACAAAATAAACACTTATGGCATAGATTAACTTAAAAAAATCATAATTTGTTAAAATATTACAAACTTGCATCAAAATTTTTATCAACTATGGGCAGTTCATCGTGCGCTCCTAATGAGCATTTTAAAGACTGAAAGAAGTTATGATAGATGAGTGGAATATTTTCGGTTAACTGTAAAAGATCTTTCTTTTTGGCGTCGGTTATACAATTTCCATTTGGGTACAACAGAGGTAACGGTCTTTGGAAATCTTCCATAACCACATTTCTTTTTTGAATGCTAAATTTTTGTACAGCATGACACTCACTGGTGCCATATTTAAAATATACAACAAATGGGTCTTCTTTTTTTATTATAATACAATGCATTTTTAGCCATTCTACGTTTGAGGATTCTAAACTTATTTTTCTGTTTGTAATAAGTTTTTCCAACCCCACGGTAGAGTAAAAGTTTTCTTTTTCCACAAGGAAAACAATTCCTGTAGCTGGCTGTATACCACGTATCACAAAAAAAGAGGTTAATCTTTGTAAGTGGGTATATTTATTTAAAAACCCTTAAAAGGGCTACATCAAAAAAACAAACGTTTTCGGACTAAACAGTCCATCATCAGGTTTAAAATCTGCTAGGTTAAAATGCCTGAGCCACCAAAATACATGGGTAAAAACCCTTTAAATTACTTATAGGTAGTTATCAAAGATTATACATCTTGTTGTTAAAAAACTGTGATGTTCATTATTAAATTAGATATGACTTCAGGTAACATACATTGTAAAAAGTTTTGAGTTCCAGAGCCGGGGAGAAACCTCAACGCACGGAGAACAGCTGGAAACTGTTTCAGTTTCAGTTTTTGATATAATATTTTTTTTTAATACAATACATTTTGATACAATAGAATTTTGATTTTGGGAAATAAATTTCATGTGGTTTTTTTTTAAACATTATTTAAAGAGTATTAAAGACTCACTTTTTGGTTGTGATTAGTATTCTGTGATTGGACTTTTCATAAAACAATAGTGTCATTGTCAATCATTTTTTTCGAACAGATTTTTTGTAAACAAACTGGTTAAGGTAGTAACCACAGATCACCTACCTCTCTAGATGTTCCACGACAATACTTTAGTTGGATATGAAATTCAGCGCTCCATAAGATTAGTATCGGAACTAATTCAAGCGAGAAATTACGCGGGAAATTCAAATTTTAATTTTGGTGGGAAAATTTATTTGAAATTAAAAATGTCATGCATTTTTTTTTTCAAATATACCAAATTATATTTAAAAATTTTAAACTTTATTTAAAATAAAGTTTAAAATTTTTAAATATAATTTAGTATATTTGAAAAAAAAATGCATGACATTTTTAATTTCAAATATACACAATACAATTTAGGAAAAATAAAACAAAATGTAAATTATTTATTTATTTAATACTTGTAAAACAATTTTGTAATTTAATATAGAATAAAAATATGCTATTATCACTGAAAATTGTACAATTTTATGGAAAAAGCTTACAAAAAAGTCAGAAAAATAGCAATTTAAAATTTACTGAAATTACATAAATCGTCAATATCACAAAATAAAAAATAATAAAATACACAATGTATTGCAAAATTTAAATAAATTGCATAATAAATCCTTACGAACTAATACATTTTAATACAAGTTTCTGCATGTGATACTCAAATATATATTTATACAAATTGTTTAGTTACTTGTACATAACACTATTCGTTAAGAAACTCTTCTACTGAATAATATGATCTTTCAGATAGATAGGATTTTGTTCTTTTACGGAACTCAAGGAAAGAAGTTGCAGATTTAAGTTCATCAATCAGTTATTTGTTCTCCAATATCAAATATTTATTGGACTCACCATACAAATGTAAGCTAGGAATTGCATTTTTATACAATTTATGACTCCATGAAGAAACAAACTTATCTTCAACGTGTCTGTGGCAGATTCGTTTTGTTTTATAAACTGTACTAGCATTCATCATATCTAAATTAGGATTGTTTATAACACTAAGCCACTTCCTAAATCGTGTAATGTCTTGGATTACACTTGGACGTGGATTTGGAAAGGTATGTCTAATTAATGACGAATTAGTACATTGTAGGATACAACATTTATTGTGAAAAACCATATTTAACTGATTATTATTAATCTGCAAAATACTATTTGAACACCGCCAGGAACATTTAAAACGTAGATCACTGAGGTAGGTGATTCCGAGTGATTCGTTTTGTAATTTACAAACTAACACTAACAAAATCAAAATATAGACGCTAATATGACAATTGGCGATTGACAATTATAATACTTTTCTTAGTTGTGTTCTAAACCTAAACTGCAGAGTAAAACTAGAGACAGAGTAAAGCGACATCTGAAGATTAGTATCGGTACTACAAATGACATTAAGTTTAATTTGACCTTGAGCTACCTACGTGAAACGTCTAGTTATTAGTGGTCTGTGGTGGTAACGTAATAATATAAATAATATAGATAATTCACATAAAAATCCAAAGAAAGTCTAGTTTTTGAAACAAATAAAGAGTCACAATTAGTAAACCAATTTTTTTTAAATCGATTGTTATTATGAATCCTCTACGAAAAGGAACAACGAAGCGGTGTTGTTATAAAATATGTTTATAAATTTATAAAGAAATATTTAATAAATAAATATATAAAAAATATTTATCTAATAAAAATATTTCTACAAACTTCATCTAATTTATATAACGATGCACGTCATCGGCGTCATAGCCTGTGACGTTACATGATACCAACACAAAATATTTAA